TGAGATACCATACCCAGCCTTATCTTTCATGACTTTGACATTTTTGAGGAATACAGGCTGGTTATGTGATTAAATGTTCCTCAGTATAGGTTTGTCTGATGTTTCCTCATGTTTGTGACCCCTTGACAGGAATATCATAGAGGAGATGCTGTGCTTCAGTCAGTGAGTCCTCTTAGGTCTCACATGATCTCAATTTATTCCATGGCTTCATGTTGTTAACTTCTGTTTCTTTAAGATTGTGTCTGCCAGATTTCTCTGTTACAAGGTGAATTAGCAAATATGTCACATTCACAAATTAATAGGCGATGTGTGTTTTGTGGGGAGAATCTTTGTGTTTTGTAGGGAGAAGCTTCGAGACTGTAAATATTCTGTTTCCCATCATCCTTTCTTCTTCCAGATTTAGCATCCATTGATGCTTCTTGTTTGAATCTGTTATTACTGTGATGGATGCCAAATGACAACTTTCTAATGTTATCAATCCTTCTAGATTTATTAGTTGGCATTTTACTGTAAGGTAGAGTTTTCCTTGCTATGCCATATATTTCTTGTTTATTTGTTTACATCAGCATAGACTCATGAATTCAAATTTTAATCAATTTATTACATTTTTTTTAGTTCTAACTTCAAATTTTCTTAGACTTAGCCAATAGAAGCCCCTTTTTGACATGTTTCCATCATTCTTTGATCACTTCCTTATTTTCTAGCACAACAACGTGCCACGCTTATCTTGTATTTTCCTGACCTGCATTGGAATCAGCCGTTTCTGCCAGGAATTTTGGTTTCTTTAGTGGAAAGTGGTATTTAAAAACAAGCTCTGAGCACTAGAGGTGTTCATTACTGGCCTTTCCCAGCAGAGAGACCCTAGAGAATTTGTGTGTATAAACAAGTATGCATTTGTGTGTTCAACAGCAGGAAATCTGGCTACCTTTATCTTCAATGTATGTACTTATTTGCTCAATTCCCCCCATATGTAAGCAGATTACTGTGGCTGAAAGCTTGACCCCAGACAAGTGAATTTATCTCTGCCTGGTATGTCAGCCCAAAGCTGGGTATTAAATATGCTGCCCACTGGATACCATCCAAAAACTCAGCAAGACAAAAGTGACGAGGAAGAAGGAAAGAGAAAACTGTATTTAGGAAGTTCAGCTGCAGACATTTTAGAAGGGGTAGGAGGAAGGAGGAAAGGCCGGTTAGGAAGTTTGGTTTTGGTCACATAGGCCCTTTCCCCTACTCTTTTTCCAAGCTGGGCCCATGAATAGGGGAAGCAGGCTTAGAATGATGAGTTAACTTGTCCAAGCCTAATCAGTTGGGTCGTGGCAGAGCTGGAGTTTAAGCCTGGATTTTTTCTGACTCCGTACAACTTACTGTTTTTAGTGCATCTTGTAGAAAGCAGCTTTGCAATGAATGACAACAAAACAACAACAAAAACACAGAAGCCTTTCTTTTCTATGTTAGGAAATACTGCTTTACTTTTGTCTCAGGTGAAAATCATCATTAACGTGGTTAGATGCCTGTTTGTAAGATGGCACATTTGAAGTTATTTCAAAGCTAGAACAAACAGTTTAGACAGAGTTGAGCGTAGGACTAGGGTCAGAGACCAAGGTTATAACCTGGATACAAGGAGTTCTCATGATGATGAAAGGTCTGTCAATATGCATAGATACAATAACAACACAACACTGGGAGATGCTGAAATGTATATTTTTTTCTCTGAAGCTTTAAATGAATGCATAAGCCTGGGCTGCGATTTTTGTGAGTCTGAGTGTGCTTGTAATAATGCATAAATCGTTATGATAACTAATGCCAAATAATGGGTTATACCATGAATGGAATGAGAGCTC